GGGCTCAACGATAATCTTGAGGGCTTTCAATTTAAAAATTTAGACCTTGCGGTGGGCCATGTTCAGGTACCCCATTGTTCAGTATTACACTTCAAGAAGCAACCAGTATGCATCTAACATTGATTGAAGAAATGGGCTCCATTTAAGTTTGTGGATGAAAATACGAAAGTTTAGTGCCTTAAGAAAAATAAAACCCAGCCTTAAGAAAGTTTACTGAATCTGCGAGTTGTAAGAAATGGTAAATGCTCAAGTAAAATAACATTTTTCGAAACGAACAAGAATTTCATAGTGTTGTTAAGAGAAGTTTATTCATAACAAGTGAAGTCGAAATATAGAAATAGCCTAATATCAATTAGTAGGAAGTGAGTTTAATAACCTTTATAAAATTAAATCCAGATTATTATTCTCAGTCAAACAACACATCAATTTGATGTAACTGTGCACTGTACTATATTTTGTAGCCTTAGGAACCGTATACTGAACATTATATTTCAGAAAAAATAATCTAACACAAAAACTGCAACTTATTAAGTATCCTTTCCTAAAAGAATGGAACTAATTATTTTTATGTATTGAAAACATGTTTCAGCTTCTTATGAAAAATATGGATATTGATACATAGATTATAGTGTTACGTCTCTGGTCGTTTGTTAATTTCGGTATAAATTCTTCCCGAGGAACTTCAGCGATACAAGTTCTTTCTTAAATAAAACTAGTTTATTCTTTCTAAATACAACTTTGCAATGCACAGAATTTCCATGGTCACTTGAACTTAAACACACGCTATAATTCACAATGATTCACGCACTTTACTTACGGTCACTACCACTCACTTTACACAATTATCTGTCTATCTGCCGTTCTCTCCGCTTTATTTGCCGGGCTTATATACTAAAATAGAGGATGCCTAGAAAAGACTAGAGTTGCCAGGAACAGTCGTGATCCTTCTAGAAACTCCAGCATGCATGCTTCCAGTGTCACGTGACTTCCGCTGTCGCAACAATAGATTATAATGTGGACAAACATATATTTAACAGATTATAAATCAACATAGCTGAAAAGTATAATATATTAATGTATTTTGCCAGTTTATCATTTAAAAAGGCACTCGGATTATCGGGTTTTTTGGTTTTGTGATAATGTGTGGTATTTTTAGGTGCACTTGTTACTTTAGATATAAGAATAGTAACCGTAATAACTTGAGTGATGGGAGAAAATGTTATGCAGAGCTAAAGTGAGTTTCTACCTGGCCGAATTGAAGGAAAAGACTGAACATAGTTCGGAAGTGGAACAAAACAAACAGTTTATTTTTGCTAGCTGATAGCTGAAGAAAACTTTAATGAATATGACCGAGGTAGCATGAGCTAATCACGACACAGAAAAACAATAATCATATCTTTCAGAGCCCTGTGCTTCATACATAAAAATGTATCTAAATAGATATCAAAATTTACACTTATTAAGCCTTCTTGGTTAAGCTATTGCAGCCTAATAACCAGTTTGTTATTTATATACACCAATTTCAACCGTGTGCTTCTTATACAAAGGAATCTTTTTATGAAGTAAGTAACCTTATTTTTCATGCTTATTTTTCAATTTTTAGTATCCACCATATATCTCTCTAAGTAATCAAGCTGTGGATTTCAACAATGAGACAGTGGAACTCGATGACTGTGTGTGTAAGGAAGTTTTGGAGTATCTAGCACATCAATACCAAGTCCAGTAAGCAAATATCTTTTTAACATTTTCACTTTGAGTAACAAGGATTTGATTCATAAACTAAAGTTGTTTCAAGAAACTAAAGAAATTGTAAATTTATAATGATAATCCTTACCAACAAACACTCATCATTCCCTGGTCTCCAAAATATCTCATTTGTTGCCATATTCATACTGATTTGTGCATTACTAAAAACTACAAAGCTTCAACAATGTTCTAATTCTCAAAGCCTTGATTCATACTAGTTTTCATCTCTGCAAACGTTTGCTTTGCACTGCTGCTGGGCCTGGCATGACCTGGTGGTTAGGGTGCTCGACTCGCAATCTGCGAGTTGCGGGTTCAAATCCCTGTCACACCAAACATGCTCGCCCTTTCAGCTATAGGGGGATTATAATGTGACGATCAACTCTACTATTCCTTGGTAAATGAGTAACCCAAGAATTGACCCTGGGTGGTGTTGACTAGCTGCCTTCTGTCTTGTCTATCACTGCTAAATGAGGAATGGCTAGAACAGACAGCCCTCGTGTAGGTTTGCACGAACATGATAACAAAGCAAACACTACCACTGTGCCTACTTTTCAATGATGTCTAAAGATTCATCCCAGCTTTTCATCAATGTAAACGTTTCTTGTACACTACTAAGATGGCCACTTCTGGATGATATCTACATTCTTCCTGTGAACAATTTATTGTACACTCCTACTGTGCCTACTTCTGGTTGATGTGTAGATTCATCCCAGTTTTTATCTCTGCAAACGTTTATTGTACACTGCTACTGTGCCTAATGCTCTTGTTTGGGTATAGTGCCCACAAAATCCTGTCATAGATGAACTGTCCTAGTTTGGCCGTGTAGCACGTCCTCTTGTAGTACTCCATGGTGGGTGGGGTCAGTAGGTACTGAACTTTTATCCCTTTTTATGGGAAATCTCAAAAATGATTCTAAAAACAAAATAAAAAATATGTAGCTGGAAAACGACCACAAATAGAAGATTCTGTTCAATTGTCACCATCTCATCCTGCTCATGTATCTTGTTTTTTGATTTTGCATTCTTTGTCTGAAAAATCTTTAGGGCACATGTCTCTCTTTTTCATTCAGAAGAGATTTGAGGGATTTGCTGGCTCTCTAAAGTCAGTGCAGAAGTTACGTCCTCGGGACATCTTGGTGGAAACTTCTATGTCTCAACATTGTGAACTTCTCCTGAGATCGAATTCCATCGGGATATGCCTATTGAAGTTACTCCCCATACTACTACGAATTCTTCACGAGGAGTGATCGTTGAGAGGGATTTACTTGACATTCCCGAGTTGGAGATTCTCGCTGGTTTCGCCAGCCAAGAACTTTCAACTGTGCGATGTATCTCCACTCATAAAGATGGAATTATGCAGCCTACACAAGTTCTCGTTTTTATGTTCACATTGCCACGTCCTCTTGCCGCTGTTATGGCAGGTTATCTCAACTTTAAAGTATGGTCATATATTCCTAACCATCTCAGATTTTTCCATTACCACAGGTTTGGGCATTCAAAAACTTCATGTCATGGTTCGTTGACGTGTGCTCATTGTGGTGACAAAGGCCACGATGCCTACAAGTGTTATTTGATCCGTCACTGTGTTACTTGTGGTGGTTCCAACCCCTCATACTTTCGTTCTTGCTCTAAATGGGTGAAGAAGAAAGAGGTACAACGTTTACATACTGTTAACAATATATCTTATTCTGAGACACAGAAGTTGTTGTCCTCTGTTCCTCCTCAGACATATACTGCTGCACTCTGTTCCACTGCAACAGTGGAAGTACACATAGATCTTTCCATACGTCTTTCTGAGTCTTTTCTCGCCAGGTCCAAAGTATTCTGTCCTCCGTGGATTCTAGAGGTGACAAATCAAAGTCTACTACTGTCTCTGTCCCCATCATACCATCCAGTGACTTCTTGGACCCCACTCCATCTGTTCAGAGGTGTGGAACCATTATTGACCCACGCATTAAGTTACTGGAGTCTCCTTCATCTGATAGAGATCTGCCCAATCAACCCAGTGCAGGTTCCATTGTGGTCGATAGACCACGTTCTACAAAAGAAAAATGTCATTTTCACAAACAGAAGAGTTCTCCACACAGTTCTTCTCCTTCTAAATAACAATGGTCACTTTGATACAGTGGAACCATCGAGGTTTTCATTTTAATTTGGATGACATTAAAATCTTGACCTTGTCTCTCTTTACAATAAACATTTCTTCAGCCTGCTGATGATGTCACCTTTTGGCAGTTTTCCTTGTATAGGAATGACAGGATATGTGATGGACGAGTTTGTGGAGGTGAGGCATGGCTGATTGACCAGCATACACCCACATTCTCTGTGCCACTCACAATGCCACTGGAGGCTGTTGTCGTCTCCATGAGTTGTACCATCACTGTTTGTTCTCTTTACCTGTCACCAGGAAAGAATTGTGATCCAATAGACTTTGATGTCCTTATTGACCAGCTGCCATCTTCCTTCTTCATCTTGGGTGACTTTAATGAGCACAATACTCTCTGGGGTGGTGCTATTATTGATAAGAGAGATTGTTCTGTGGAAGATATGCTCTCAGATCACAACCTTTCTCTATTCAATACTGGTTCATTTACCCACTTTCATGCACTTAGTCAGTCATTTATTGCTATTGATCTGTCCATTTGTTCCCCTTCACTTTTTCCTTATTCTTCTTGGAGGTTGGACAATGACCCACGTGACAGTGATATTTTTCTCATCATTTTGAGGGAAATCAACCGCAGTTGATGCCACCTGACTTGTGTGTCATAGTGGAAGGTAGAACAAGCTGACTAGTTTCCTTCACCACTGTTTTAGAACTTGATCCTTCTGTCATTAGTCTTCCCACTGTTAACGACTGCATGGAAGCAGTAACTGATTGTGTTATTTGAGCAGCTGTATGTTCAATCTCCAAATCCTTGATGTGTTTCCCATGGTATTTTTGTCCATGGTGGTCTCCTGACTGTCAGCAGGTGCAGAAAGCTCAGAAACAAGCCTAGGATGTCATATGCAGATATCTCACTCTTTCCAACTGCGTCACTTTCCAGCAGAATCGTGCCCATGCCCAGATGATGTCAGACATCAAAGACAGACGAAATCTTGGATTACGTTCACCACCAGCATCTCTTCTGCCACTAGTTCCAAGGTTGTCTGGAATAAGATTCGAAGGGGCAGTGGGAAGTATGTTTCCCATCCCCTTTCGATCTTGCTGTCCAATGGCCAGAAAGTTGCCGATGTTCAGAACATTGCTGACACCCTTGGAAACTGCTTTTCACATTTTTATAGCACTTCTCTCTCTCCCCTTGCCTTTCTGGCCTCCAAGTCTCTGACTGAAAGATCGCTTCTTTTGTTTTGGGCAGAGAGTATCTATGATTATAATTGCACATTTATGATGGTGAGACTTACAATTGCTCTATATCAGTCTGGTAGTACCTCATTTGGATCTGATGATATTCATTATAAGATGCTGTGGTATCTCTCACTCCTGCTCTTCTTCTGGTTGTTTTAACTATAATTGGCATATATATGGGGGCTTTCTACACTTCACCAGTCCAGAGTCTATACACTGAGTCCTATGAACCTTCTCTTCACCTCAGTCGTTTGTAACTTTCCTTAATATATGCCATAAAACTTCAATCCTTAACATCGCATCCCACTTGGGGCTGTATTCCTTCACCAGTAGGCTGTGCTCTTTGAGAATTGGCAGTGTGCCATTCCCCCATTTGGTCTCGCTATCCAGGCACAGCTGACTGAATTGGGTCTGATATTGGATATTGCTGCTAAACCAAATAATCAGCCCATCTTACCTTGGCTCATTACCATCCCCACTTGTGACCTATCTTTGGGTCATCTGAGGAAAACAGGTACTCCTGATTGGAAGTATCATCTTCTCTTTGCTGAACATCTTTCGAACCATTCTTGCTTTCCCATTTTTATGGATGGTTCGAAATAAGGGGACTCTGTGGGCTCTGCCATGGTTTGCTATGGCTCAGTGGTCGCTCACAGAATTCCCTTTACAGTTTCTGTGTTCACTGCCGAGTTGTATGCCAGTTCTCGCCTTTGATCACGTAGAAGCTATGCAGTACTCTAACTGTACTATATACACTGACTATCTTAGCTCTCTGCTGGCTCTAGAATCACTTAATGTCAGTTCTCACACAGTTTTCTTACATATTCGGAAACAACTGGCTCACATTTCTTTGTCGAATATCTGGCACAGTGGATATTTGGACAGTGTCATTGGCAGTGGTGACATTGTCCAGATTGATCGTGTTTTTAGCTGTTTACGGGCCTCTCTATTTCTGTTTGATTTTTCACGTGATTTATGGGCACTATTTAGCATTTAGCTTGTTTTAGTTTTACTTTTTTATACTATTTTATTTTTTGCCTTTTTACAGGTTGTTTGGCACAGATAACTTTGTTGCTTTGTGCCAATAAACTCCAAACAAACAAAAACTTTCTGGATGATGTCTAGTTTTCATTGTTGTAAACATTTGTTATATGTTTCTACTGTGCCTACTTCTGGATGATGTCTAGATTCATAACAGTTTTAACTGCTGTGAACTTTTATGTACACTGCTACTATACCCTACTAGTGAATGATGTCTAGATTCGTCCAATTTTCCATCTCCATAAACGTAATTTTACACTCCTACCCTGCCCTACTTCTTAATGATGTCTAGATTCGTACAACTGTATCCCCATCAACTTTTGTTTGACACTCATTCTGTGCTCTATTTCTTATCGATTTCTATATTTATGCCAGTTTTCATTCCCATAGACAGTTGTACACTACTCTTCTGCCCTACTTCTAATTAATATCTATATTCGTCAAATTTTATTTCTCTATGTATGTTTATTGTACACCCTAATGTGCTCTTTATTTGAAGGATGTCTGATTCATGACAGTTTTCATCCCCATAAACGTTACTGTACACTCTTGCTTTGACCTACTTGTGAATGATATCTAAATTCATACCAATTTTCATACCAGTAAACGTTTGTTGTACACTACTACTATACTATGCTTCTTATGAGATCTAGGTTCTTTAAAATACATTTTCTGAGAGATAAAGTTCAGTAAAGCTTTACATATGTTCCAAAATCTTTCTTTTTGAACAGGTTTTCATTTGTTAAACCTCCAGAGATGAAATGGGGTCTACAAAACGATGGCAAATGGAGTGGAGCAGTAAAGATGGTTCTTCAGGGAGTAAGTGGTTGCAGTTGTTATTTTTACTGGTTAATATAATTATATTTTTAACTGTGTTGTTCTGTAAGTAGGCTTTCTTATACTAAAGGAATATTTAATAGCACCTTAAATTAATAATTATGCTCCAAGAATGACTGAAATTGAATAATGTTTTTCTTTCTTTCTCTGGTAGTTCTTCTTATAGAAAAAATTTGTATCATTGTAATATCTAGTGGTAGCACTCTCTTGCTGACTTATTTTTATCACAAAATGGTTCTGTTAGCATTTCTGAAGTATTTTTATGTCTGGTGTGATAGAATAAGAGATTATGTGTGTTCATCTACCATATTTAGCCACTTCAGGTATTGCATTGAAATTTGTTTTGTTTGCTGTTAAGCACAAAGCTAAACAATGGGCTATCTGTGCTCTGTGCATCACGGATATCAAAATCCGATTTTAAGCATATAAGTCCATAGACTTACCACTGAGATACCAGGGGCATATTCAAAACTAATTTTTACTTTTCTTCCATATTGGTAATAACTGGTATGTTTTCATTGCAGGAGGCAGACATGATCCCCTTCTTGACAGTGACAACACAGCGGTCAGCTGTATTAGACTTCAGCTTTCCACTCTCCACCGAGAAATACTCCATCCTGGTAAAAAGACCAACTGAGCCTCCACGTCTACTAATCTTCCTTCGCCCATTCAATTTAACCGTAGGTTCTCGTATTATGTGTTCCTAGGTGTTTGTTTGTTTTTATTTACATACAACCAAAGCATCAACTCAGTTATAGCCTTGACCACAGTAAACTTCGTAATAACAATATCTGTTACCTTCAGAGACATAGCAGGATGAGTGTTCAACTATTAGAATACTTGTCTTCATGTCTTCTGCCCATAGTAAAATCGTCAATAATACATAGGGGTGAAACTGTGCTGGTACCCGCCAGAACTCTAGATGGTTATTTTTGGAATTCCAACTGAAGTACTCCTATTTTTTGCTTTTGGGATTTGATATATATTTTGGTGGTTCAATCTTAATATAATATAAAGAGGTACTGCCAGCTTGAAGAAAACTCGATAAGCTACTTCATAAGCTGTGAGACCAGATCCTGCAAAAGTGAGTTTTAAGGAGAACCTTGCCACTGGTTAAATATACCAGGCCTTTTATATTCAGTGGTGCAACAGGATAAATACTTTTGAATAGTTGTCTCCCTGTCCATAGTAAACTTCAGTGATAAAGTAGGATAAGTGATCTACTAATTGCCCTTCTTTTAATGGTATGTTTACATGTTCTATACTTAACATTAACCTATAAGCGTTATGGAAAGATTGGGTGGTAAACTATAGAATAGCAGAGGATATGGTAAATGACCAAAAAGAAGTACTGATGACATTAAGGGGGATTAGTGTAGGCACCAGAAGAATGTAGTGTATGAGTGATAACTTATGGATCAGAAAGAATCACTGCTGGCACCAGGAGGATGTAATGCTCCTTGACAGATAACATTCTATGCAATAACTAAGATCTCATGCAATGTGTACGTGTTAATTTTTGTTTCAATGGCAACAGTGTTATGTCAATTGTTATCTCAATCCCATACAGAATCATACCCAGTAACCTAATAAAATCTGTAAAAACCTTTTGGTATCTAAATGTTTGATAAATTCAATCCTTACTTAACAAAATGACTAGTAACATCATAGTATTTTCATGTATAAGAAAATATTGATCTTTTTTCATTACCTTAGAGGAAATTTTCATCTCTGCACTGTATCATAGAAAATATTTGGAAATCTTATTCTTTATGCTGAATTGAAGAAAATATATATAATCCCTTTTCTGAATTGGATGCTATCTTTGGGAACTAGGATCTTTTCCTTGTATTAGAGATGATTTTAATACCTTCGCTGTATAGAGAAGATATTTGAGAATCGTTTTCTCTTTTTTGAACTGAGAAAATCGTAATCTCCTCATTGATTGAAAATCTTCGGGACTACTTAGTATGTTCGAAACAGTTTTAATATATTTAGCATGTTATTGAGATTTTGTAAGAATTCCACTTCAACATCATTGAGCCCTTAGTAGTTACCGTGTACCCCTGTGCCAAAAGTATGTTGCCTCAGTGGGTGGTCGCCTGGCAGGAGTCAGGCAACAGGGAGGGGGTAGAGATGATGACGTCATAGTGCCATGAAGTGGAACCAAAGAGTGTTAACACCATGACAGGTGAAAGTTGTCCAGAAAGCGTATTTCTAGGCCACTATGATGATCTCGTCACAGAGTGTCTCAACATGTGATTACATCATCAATGTTCAGATTTAATTATATTCTAAAAGTTACAAGTAAAACTATTATTTTAACGAAACGAGTATTATAACGCTGTTACACATGTCAGTTTTATCACACATCATTCGAATGAGGCAAGTATTATAGCCAATAATTCACTTTACATACTTTTATAATTATCTGTCGTTTTATGTATAAAACACTTCACCAATTCAATAGTTCTAAAGTTTTTGCCTTTATATTTAATATGCATGACAAAGATTTTGATGTGTCTAGATCTGGGTAGTGTTACTATCACAGTTAACATACTGATTATAATTCTCGCCTCTGCATTTCATGATACTTTTTGAATTTCCTGTATGTTTTTATAATTATTGAACGAGAAAGTCGATTGTGTTTTAATGCTGGATAAAACATATCGGCCAGTACCTGAGCTAGTTGGTCGGCTGGAATTGCCTCACCTAAAGTTAAATACCTTAATAAATGATGTAACATAAATTACTGAAATGGTGTTTTGACCAATACTTTGATACATTTCTTGCTGACACAACGAGCTCAAGTACTTATTGTTATGCGTTTGGACGTTCTCATAACTCAAGAAACTCGGCCGTCATATGTTTAGCATAGATTGAACATAAGTTTTTTACAGCTCTGTATGAGGGGAAACGCCAATTATCTCAACGTTTGTATGCATTTTTAACTGGACATTCTCAGCATAAGACATCGAGGCTGCTGTCAAACACGGGTCCCTAATTTTATTTTTCCTTTTCATTGACAGAAATAACACTGCAGTGACAATATGTTCCGAATGTTTTTATGGATGATCACAAAACTACTTTAAAAGTAGATAACATTCTCTCATTTCTGCTAAACACTGTTTATTCTTTAATATAAGAACATAGATAACTGTAACTTAAGGAAAACCGTATGATAATGTGTTATGACTTTAACTTATTTCTGTTACTACAGTGAACTTTACTAAATTTTTGTAAATCTTATAACAATTTCGTTGACAATTAAGATGTAAAAACTAAAACTCTATTATATCTAAACAATTATACCTTGAAGAAGTTACACTTTGTATAGAACTTGGTGAGTTATACTTAAACGACAATTACGTCAGTTCTAGATCAAAAACAGAAAGTAGTAACTTAGAAACAGAAAATAATTTCCTAATATACCATTAAATATTGAGAAATGCATGATTGTAATTAGCTTTCTTAAAATTAGTGTAAGAATAGATACATTTGTTTTACTGACTGTTAAGTACAGTTAAATACAAAATCTGTTCTTCATTGTCAGAGTTAAAATATAGTGAACTATATTCTGTGATGACAAACAGTAAACATGATGGATTTATTACATGTAAAAGAAAAGATATGTCTTTTATTACAAGAAACAATAAATTGAAATATTTTGTCAAGAAGTTTTACAGCTTTTGTTTGTTCTTAAAATCTTTAAAGGTAGGATACATGCACATTATTTTTGATAAATCTTGGATAAAGTCGTCTTTCTCTACACAGTATCCCAGAAAGTTTCGTTGACAGGACCTGATAAATTTAACTGTGTTGCTCTTTCATTAAACACAGATTGAACAATAAATTTATTCACTATTGTCAATGCAAGTCTCAAATATAACCATACACATTCACCATGATTTAACATGATGAGTTTGACTTAGGTCGTCGATTTCACATGCTTCACACTGTTCTTTCTTCGGTACTTTTAAAATAGGGAACACTTGTTCAACGTATATACATAAGAATCGATTTGAGCTGATTATTCAGTTTATTTTCATTATGAACTATAGTGTTTAAGTAAGTATCAAAATTAGAAATCTGTGCACATAAATTCTGCCATTTTGAATTTGATAAAATAAAGAGGACCTTGTCAGATTTTATTTCAATACTATGATGATCAATTCGATACATAAAGAAAAAGGGGAGATATTAACTTTTTCTTCTGAAGAAAAGGATTTTGCTGAAACATATGAAATGTAAAGGCCATTACATAGTGAGGAAGTTGTGATTGCAAATATCACCTCTACTGATAAATGTTTCTAGCTTTTTATAGTTACAATATATATCATCATTAATTAGTGTCTGATTTTTAATACTTTTATATCTTATTTAGCAAAACCAACTTTGTTAACGCCACCGTTAATGTATGTGAATTTTCAAGTACATATAGATAAATATAAGACTGTATCTCGTGACAGAGAGGTGATTGGTTCTCATTTAGTTGTCGTTGATATGTATGTGACTAATAATCAAAGGTCAAAGCATTAGTCACAGAGTTTTCTCAGAGAGTTCCTTTGTTCTAGATCATATATGTGTGTAAAATTAATGTACAGTCACGGATTATGAGTGTATACTTTATGGTGAATATTTTCAAAATGTAAAATCATGTGATCATCATGTCTGTACAAATCATTATGGTGAGTGTCCTATTCGTTTTGTTTATGGAGATGTGATTTATTTATGCAGTCATTTGATTGAACATTTAGATATTCCCTAAATATTAGTTCAATGAGCCCTTGAATGATTTTATTTAAACGAATGAAATTTAAAGGTCCTTTCCAAGACCATCATATCCTGAAAAAGAGAAAGCGATGATTGCTCATACCTCCTGTACTGATGAAAAAGTTTTTCACTTCTAATATTTACAATAAACATCAGCATTAATCAGAGTGTACTTGTTCAAAATCTGTTACACTTGAGATTGAACACTAATTGTAACTGACAATACGAATAACAAAATTTGATGTTTTATGTTTCAGTGTAAAAGATAACACATCACGTTACTGTAACATTGTTTCAAATCTATCTTAAAATGTCTTGTGATACATTTAGTGTTCATCTACACATAACGTTATACAGATTAAAAATATAACATGAGCATCATGTACAAAAAGTTGTATGAGAGCTAATCCAGTATTTCATAAATTAAGCTGTTTATAGTACATTAGCATATTTTGAAGTTTTGTTAATAAATTGTTTCAGTTTGTGTGATACTTGAAAAATGTTTACTTAGATATTATAGTATGATGAAACACGTCAATTTTAATCTGTAGGGGAGGGGTAATGTGAGGGTCAATATTTAATGTTCAGAACGATGGGGACAGTCAATTTAGTAACAGATTTCAAGTGCATGACATGTTTTGTATAAATAAAGAAACTTTGGACAGTGCTCCTTAAGCTCCGTTTACGGTGATTTATTATATTTGACTAATATCATGCTAGAACAAGTATATACCGCAGGTATTATCAAATTGGGCTGTGAGTCAGTATTTTATAATCTAATATGTTTTCGTAAATAGTATATTAGTATATCTTGAAGTTTTATATAAAAATATCACTGATCCCTGACTTGTAACTGATGATTTC